GTATGTATGTATTCATGTGTGTATGTATGTATGTATGTACCTATGTATGTATGTATGTATTCATGTTTGTATGTATGTGTGTATGTATGTATGTACCTATGTATGTATGTATGTAAATAGGTATGAATGTATGTATGCACGTATGTATGTATGAATGCATGCATTCATGCATGCATGCATGCATGTATGTATGTATGTATATATGTATGTACGTATGTATGCATGATGTACGTATCTATACATGCATACATACATACAAGCATGTATAGCCCTCATCACTATCCATTTCTATTGTCTCAAAACACACAAAAAACAACACTTATCACTTTGTATATACACTCATTCACATCATATGCTAACATCTCCGCACATACCTTGTACCAAGACAGCCCCTCATCATGTACATAGAGACTTCGTCTGCTTGGCCCTGTCACTTGGCGCCCTTTATGTGGTCCACTGGGTTTATCCTGACGTTTGGCTCTTTGTTTATCAAAACTTATCGCGTGCGTATGATCTTTAGATCGTCTGTGAAGAAACTCTACAGCGGTATCAAGTGCAGCAACAAGTATGTGGCTGTACGTGTAAGCATATACGATCTTGTGTATAGACGGTTATGTGGCTGTACGCGTAAACATATACGATCTTGTGTATAGTCGGTTATGTGGCTGTATGCGTAAGCATATACGGTCACGTATATATAGACAGTTGTGTGCACTTGTTTGCGTACTACTACGTGGTGAGGTGATGAGGGATGTACCTATTGGTGTATGTGTACGCACTCAAGGGTGCGTATGAAGAATGTGGGTATGCCATCACATAATATCTACTGCGGCGATCGATACTATTTGTATGTGATGTTTGTACACATCACTTCCTGTGTCGCAACCACGTATAACTGACGATATGAACCATACAACATGTACTTGTTCCTTTGCTGTACTATAAGTATACCGACAAACAGCAACCCGGCCTGTGATCAGTCCTTAAGCATTGTACTTGCACCTATGGGATGTGTGTGCACCCATGATTGCTACATATAGCACTATCGAGTGGTTGTTACATATAGTACTATCGAGTGGTTGATACATATAGTGCTATCGAGTGGTTGTTACATATAATACTATCGAGTGGTTGTTACATATAGTACTATCGAGTGGTTGTTACATATAGTACTACCGAGTGGTTGTTACATATAGTACTATCGAGTGGTTGTTACAGATATTGCAATCGAGTGGCAGGTGCACTCTCACATGGGCTTTCGAACGGTCCATCGGATTGGATTGCGCTTATGACTGTGTGTGTGTGTGCTCGCACACACGTGTTATAAAAAAACGTATGTAACGTATCTGTACAGCGGTAAAAACCTATCATACACTTGCCAGGCCCTTCTCGTAGCTTTCGCTTCCCTGTTTGTACACTATACACACTAAACCCTAAACCTTACACCCTTAATGATCAGAGAGCTCCTGACCAAGCTCAGCATCTTGTTGGTGATCAACGGTCTAGCCCAACTGGCTATCGGTTTCACCGATCAATTCGTCAAGACCTCTTATGTGGTTGAGGACACTGTTTGGCTTGCATGTAAGCAGACATGGGGTCTGTTGTCGGTGACGCTGTCGCAGGCCTGTTTGATGATGGTAAGTA